TCCACTCACCTCAGCCTTCCAAAGGCGCAGGATTACAGGCTGAGCCACCAAGCTCAGCTCTGATGTAATTTGCATACTGAGAGCTACTGAGACCCAAGAAGGGGTGGTGTCTGGGGACTAAGCTTTCTGAATTGTGTGTGTGGCAGGGAGATTTGTCTTATGGTCCTTGATAACCTTTTGCCCCTTCCTTTTGTCTAGACCAAGTCTCCCATTGAGAGTACCGCTGAACCACCAGCAGTTCGAGCATCTGAAGAGCGTCTAAGCAATGGGGATATATATTTGCTGGAGAATGGGCTCAACCTCTTCCTCTGGGTGGGAGCAAGTGTCCAACAGGGTGTTGTCCAGAGCCTTTTCAGCGTTTCCTCCTTCAGTCTGATCACCAGTGGCTTGGTGAGGGCAAGGAGTCAAGGAGAATATGGGTGTGAAAGTACACTTTGTGAAATGATTGGGAGCCAAGAAAGTAGTGTACCAGTCCCCTTAAATATCAAGGAATACATGGAGAGAAGGGAGGGTGCTGAGGGTGCTGCGAGTGTTCCCAGACTTCCTTGTTTTGGATGATGCATAAATCAGTGCCCCCTGATCTTCCCTTAACCTGGAGCACCTTACCATAAAGACAATTATATTCTGTGTTACAGGGTGTCCTACCAGTTCTGGATAATCCACTGTCCAAGAAGGTCCGAGGCCTCATTGACAGCTTAAGGGCACAGAGATCACGGTACATGAAGGTAACACTGATCTGATCTCTAGATTTCTTACCTTGTCAAGTCCTCACCTGGAAGGGGATGGAAGGGAATAAGTGGCTGGGTAATGCAATTTCTGGGCATATTTAATTTCCTTTGGCCTTACCTCATGACCTTGCTTTCTGGCCATAGCTTATCGTGGTAAAACAGGAGGACAAGCTGGAGATGCTGTTCAAGCACTTCCTGGTAGAAGACAAGAGCCTGAGTGGGGGAGCATCTTATGTGGACTTTCTCTGTCATATGCACAAGGAGATTCGGCAGCTACTGAGCTAAAGCAAGTGGGTAAATAGTATAGGGTCCCAAGCCAGCTTCCAGAAAGTACTCCAGGATGTCAGAAATTGGGACAGTTCCATATCTTATAAGTCGTGTAACTGACCTCAGTCTCTTTGGGGGGAGGGGGAGACATAAGGAGACACCTTCTTTCTGGGCTCAAGTATCCTACCACTGTCATGTCCTGCTGATGGAAGGTGCCCCTGTCCCCTCACTCTACCCTCCTTTTCCTGCTAATCCTGTTGTAATGAATGTAGTTTCTCAGTTCACTGTATATGATTCGGTGTTGGGGGTTTGGAGGCACCCAAACCCTGGCAATATTATATATCCCTTTGGAGGAGCCTCCGAGAGGAGAGGGGCAGGCAGGAAACAGCGGGGACCCCAGGGTTACTATAGGGGGCAGCTTATTCAGCTCAGCATCATCAACAACTTCCTATATTAGGGATGAAACATACCAGGTGCACAAGAGCTGGGGTACAGACCATATAGGTGGTGGAGAGAAAAATGGTCAGTCCTTGGGCCTGGAGGTCAACGGTCAAGTCAGTTACTGAGGGTGGTTGCCTCTGCTTCCACTGCGTGCTCGCTCGCTCTCCTGCATTGATTGGTGATCACTCCGCGGATAGTGGCACATTGTCAGAGGTGAATGAACCTGGAAACTGAGTTGCAAAGTATACTAAGACTTGGGAGAGGTACCAGTCTCCTTTCCAGCTGGAGAGGCCCCAACACTGGATGGTTCTGTAGGGAGCCTGGTCATCAACTTGCAATACCTCACAGAGCCAGCCCACGTCCCAATCTGAGCTCCCTCCGGAAACACTGCTTCTCCAAGCCAGGAGTTGTTGGGGAGAGCGGCAGAGGAAGCTGGAGCTCTGTTCTCTCCCGCCGGGATACCACTTGGGCTTTGGTACTGACTGAGTGACTGACAGTTATCTTCCAACCCCAACTGGCTGGGGCAGCACAAGGGCTAGGCTTGACGGTTGCCGGGCTTGCCTGCTCCCCGCCTGGGATGCCCCTGCTCTGGACCTCTCATTTCTCTTCATTGGTTTATTTTTCAATGCATCTTTAATTTGTAAAGAAATAAAGTAAATTAAGACGTAACCAGCAGCCGCCTCTTTCCTCGCGAAGTCTTCCCTCAGCACGGCCAGCCGGTTGAGCCTCGTTGCGCATGCGCCGCGTGCCCTCTTGGCGTAGGACCTCGTCCGGTCACGACTCGCCGCGGGGCGGGCTCTCGTGCTGTCGGAGGGGCGCCGGCTGCCAGGGTGGACATGGCGGCAGGCCGGGCCGGGGCTGTGCTGGCCGCCTTGGGGGTGCTCAGTGTCTGTGCGGCCAGCAGCTCTGGGCCCGTGGCGGAGGGGGGAGGCGGCGGGAAGGCGGAGTGGGCGGAACCGTGGGACGGCGCGGTTTTCCGGCCGCCCTCGGCGCTGGGGGTGGCGCGCGCTCTCGGGGCCCCGCGCACAGGGCGGGAGGAGGCAGTAGACTTGCCCGTGCTGCTGTGGTGGAGCCCAGGGCTGTTTCCCCACTTCCCAGGAGACTCGGAGCGCATCGAGTGTGCGCGCGGCGCGTGCGTGGCGTCCCGGGACCGACGAGTGCACAGAGACCCGCGGACGCGCGCGCTGCTCTTCTACGGCACCGACTTCCGCGCGTCCGACGCGCCGCTGCCGCGCCTGGCGCACCAGAGCTGGGCGCTCCTGCACGAGGAGTCACCCCTCAACAACTTCTTGCTGAGCCACGGCCCGGGCATCCGCCTCTTCAATCTTACCTCTACCTTTAGCCGCCACTCGGACTACCCGCTGCCGTTGCAGTGGCTGCCCGGGACCGCCTACCTGCGCCACTCGGGGCCTCCGCTGCAGGAGCGCGCGGAGTGGCGCCGCCGCGGCCACGCGCCGCTGCTCTACCTGCAGTCCCACTGCGACGTGCCTGCGGACCGGGACCGCTACGTGCGCGAGCTCATGCGCTACATCCCGGTGGGTGAGGGCGGGGCACCGAGGGCGGGGGCGGGCCGGGCGGAGGCCCGGAGCCGAGGCGTCCGGGCGTCCGCGTCCGGGCCGCACCCTCTTGACTGCCATCCTCTCCCCCGCTCAGGTGGATTCGTACGGAAAATGCCTGCAGAATCGGAAGCTACCCACCGCGCGGCTTCAGGACACGGTCACGGCCACCACCGAGGATCCTGAGCTCTTGGCCTTCTTGTCCCGCTATAAGTTCCACTTGGCCCTCGAAAATGCCATCTGTAACGACTACATGACAGAAAAGCTGTGGCGCCCCATGCACCTGGGTGCTGTGCCCGTGTACCGAGGCGCTCCCTCTGTGAGGGACTGGATGCCGAACAATCACTCCATCATCCTTATTGACGACTTCGAGTCTCCTCAGAAGCTGGCAGAGTTTATTGACTTCCTGGACAAGAATGATGAGGAATATATGAAATACTTGGCATACAAGCAACCTGGGGGCATCACCAACCAGTTTCTTCTGGATAGTCTGAAGCATCGAGAGTGGGGAGTGAACGATCCTTTGCTGCCTAACTACCTCAACGGCTTCGAGTGTTTCGTCTGTGACCACGAACTGACTCGGCTGGATGCCGAGAAAGCCCACGCAGCCTCTCCTGGGGACATCCCCGTCCCAGAGCCTCACATCGCTCAGCTCTCACACATGGACTGTCCAGTGCCGGCACCTGGCATTGGCGATGTGGAAGAGATTCCCGAGAATGACAGGTAAGGATTGTTGGGGTCCCCTGCAGCGGTCAAATAATTTTCTTACCTGTTGCTTACTGCGGGCAGTGAACTAGCACTAGCTGTTGAGGTGGTGTAGGAGGAAATCATGACATGGGCTCACCCTGCCTTTAAGGTGTCAAGAGTCTAGCTGGAGAGATAAAACAAACTGAAAAAGCTGAGTAAAGATGTAAAATTCAAGGCAACAACATTTGAGAAATCAGCTTATGTAGATAATGTTTGCAACAGTGGTTCAAAAAAGGCTGGGACCAGAGGCCAGGACCTGTGCAGGGAGGTGATGAGGGAGAAAGCTGGACAAAGAAACAGGTGAGGCTGCAAAGTTCCTAAATACCAGGCTCAGGAGTTTGGACTGTCGGGAAAATCAACTCGGCTATTTGAGCACCTTCAATATAGTGGGGATGAGAGTGGGGAATACAGAGATCTGCATTTTGAGGAAGATTTTCTGCAGAAGTCAGGGTGTATACCTGTTAACCGGGCATATATATATATATATGTATATATATATATATATATATATATTTTTTTTTTTTTTTTTGGGGGGGTTGGAGTCGCACTCTGTCGCCCAGACTGGAGTGCAGTGGCCACTCCCCGCCACTGCAGCCTCAACCTGCTGGGCTCCGGCGATCCTTTCGCCTCAGCCTTCCAAGTAGCTGGAATTACAGGCGCGCGCTACCACGCCCGGCTGATTTTTTGATTTATGTAGAGATGAGGTCTTGCTGCCCAGGTGGGTCTCGAACCCGCGGGCTCAGGCAATCCACTCAGCTCAGCCTCCCATAGGTGTGGGATTACAGGCTGAGCCACCGAGCCCGTCTTACATATTTTTTTTTTAAGCAGCTGAGCTGGCCAGGCATGGTGGTATGATCACGCCTGTAATCCCAGCACTTTGGGAGGCCAAGGCAGGAGGATTGCTTGAGCCCAGGAGTTCAAGACCAGCCTGGGCAGTGAGCCCTCGTCACTACAGAAAATCAAAAAAATAGCTGGATAGGTGGTGCAAACCTGTAGCCCCAACTACTCGGGAGGCTAAGGTGGAAGGATTGCCAGAGCCCAGAAGGTCAAGGCTGCAGTGAGCTGTGACTGTGCCACTGCACTGCAACCTAGGTGACAGAATGAAACCCAGCTAAAAAAAAAACAGCTTGAGAAAAAGAGAATGAACCCCATGTGGTTGGTGCATGTGGGGATGCAGTGCCTGTGTAACTAGAAGAACCAGGCATTGTTGTTATTGTGAGAGAGCATTTTGCTATGTTGCCTAGGCTGGTCTTGAACTCCTGGGCACAAGCTGTTCTCCAGCCTCAGCCTCCCCAGTAGCTGGGACTACAGGCTTGTGCCACCGTGCCCGGCTGAGGCATAATAATTTTTTTTTTGAGTCGTAATCTCCCTCTGTCACTCAGGCTGGGGTGCAGTGACATGCTCACGGCTACCGCAGCCTCGACCTACTGGGCTCAGGCAATCCTTATGCTTCAGCCTTCCAAGTAGCTGGAACCACAGGCAGGCACCACTACAAACAGCTGATTTTTGATTTATTGTGAAGACGAGTTCTCGCCAAGTTGGCCAGGCTGGTCTTGAACCTCTGGACTCAGGCAGTCTTCCCACCTCTGCCTCCCGAAGTGCTGGGATTGCAGGTGTCAGCCATTGCACCTGACAAGGTATAATATTTAGTAGCACCTCCTTTTATTCTTAAAATGTAATCCCAGTACTTTGTGCGGCCAAGGTGAAAGGATTGACTGAACCCACAGGTTCGAGACCAGCCTGGACAACTTGGCAAGACCTCATCTCTGCAATAAATAAAAAAATTAGCCAGGCATGGAAGTGCATGCCTGTACTTCCAGCTACCTGAGGCGGAAGGATCGCCTGATCCCACCAGGTCGAGGCTGCGGTGGCTGTGAGCGTGCCACTGCACTCCAGCCTGGGTGATAGAGTGAAACTTCAACTCAAAAATAAAAAAAATAATAATAAAAGATAGCCCTCTAAAGACCCCTGCTCCCTTGTTTTCCTTAAGAAGCCTATTTATTCCATAGTCTGGCCCCTACTGTGCCTGCCTCTGAACTCCCTCCACATTTGGGAGCCAGAAGCAGGCAAGTCAGGAAATATAACTTATTGGGTGGGCTGTGTAATGTCTTTGTGTTTGTGGCTTACTGCCTGTCACTTGGGCTAGTACTGGATTTTCTTCACATTTCCTTTCCTTTGCAGCAATCCTGTCCTAACCAGAGACCACTGTATCTGCTTAATATTTATTTGGCCCCATCTAGAGAAAGGCAGTACTCATAACGGTGCTGCAGTTCCATAATCTAATTTCCATTTTGATATTTCAGCTGGAAGGAGATGTGGCTGCAAGATTATTGGCAAGGTCTGGACCAGGGAAAAGCTCTCACTGCTATGATCCACAACAATGAAACACAGCAGGGGAAATTTTGGGATTACCTACATGAGATCTTCATGAAAAGGAACCAAAATCTCTGACCACCCCTGTAAGAGCCTTTAACTTGGTAAAGCAAAGATCTTATTCTACCGTGTAACATAAGGAGCATCCACTGCACAAACCCTTAACAAACATTGTCTTTTCATGGATTCGAGGAGTTTGAGTTATATCCACTGATAGTTCTTAATGATGGAAATAGGGCTTCTTTTTTTTTCTTTCTTTTTTTTTTTTTTTTTAGTTGGAATCTCACTCTGTCGTCCAGGATGGAGTGCAATGGCACGCTCACGGCTACCCCAGCGTCAACCTGCTGGGCTCTGGTGATCCTTCTGCCTCAACCTTTCAAGTAGCCGGAACTACAGGCGCAGGCTACCATGCCTGACTTTTTTAGATGTATTGTAGAGACGAGGTCTCGCCAAGTTGCCAGGGCTGGTCTCGAACCAGCAGGCTCAGGCAATCCACTCGCCTCGGCCTCCCAAAGTGCTGGGATTACAGGCTGAGCCACCAAGCCCGGCCAGTAGCGCTTCTCTTTAAGCATAGAGGGAGGTGTTCAATTCTTGGTTCAGTGGGAGACAAAAGCCCCACTCAATTGTGTCAAGGTGTTGCTCCAATAGAATTTTAAAGGACTGCTCACTTCTCTATTTCATCCTTTTAATTGTACTAAACTACCAGTGAGGTAAATTGGGCCAGGTTATAACTTTCCGTTTTATTCCCGAATCCCTCATTATTTGGTACCTGTCCCATAAACTCTTTTCCTAGTCTCTTGCTAAATTAATTATCATGTTAGTAGTGAAGAAGCAAAACTTGGTGGGTTATATACTGGTTTGCTGGGGTTGTATTTTGTCTACTACTTATTTTGCCTATCGTGACAAACTTTTTATTTTAAACGATTCTTTCCTGGTTTTAGGCCCCTTTCCACAATTTGTGATGGAAATACAGAAAACATGCCATCATTCTTATTGATGATTTGCTTCTTATTTAGGGTATATCTGGGATTCCTTCTTGTCTCATGAACAGAAAGATTCAGTGGCTGTTATATGCTACATCAATTTAATGTATTGCCCTGTCTATTTTAGATTAAAAATGGAGTCTAAGACTGGAAATGATGGCAAAAAAAGTTATATATACATATTTGGATTTGAATGATTTTGAAATGTTAAAATAGGCCAATATGAATCAAAGTTCAAATTTTCTGATGAGTAGGTTGACCAAAAAAAGTACAAACTTTTATAGGTCCTTGTTCTTTCCTGTCTGCCTAATGAACTCTTCCCTCTATTTTATTGTTTTTATATGCAACAAAGTCTCATTTTCTGCAGAAAATGGAAATAGCCAGCAATATGCTTTAGTATTATCTCATAATCTATAGCACTTTTCACTTTAAGTGCTTGAATAGTCCAGTTTCATTCCCTCTGTTAGTGATATTCTTCCATACAACTTTATGTTACCCAACTTTTTTTTTTTAGTTGGAGTCTCACTGTCACCCAGGCTGGAGTGCAGTGGCATGCTCATGGCCACCATAGCCTTGAGCTGCTGGGCTCAGGAGATCTTTCCACTTCAGCCTTCCAACTAGCTGGAACTACAGGCATGTACCACTATGCCTAACTAATTTTTAAAAACGTATTGTAGCGATGAGGTCTTGCCATGTTGCCCAGGCTGGTCTTGAACCCCTGGACTCAGGAAATCCTCTCACCTCAGCCTCCCAAAGTGCTGGGATTATAGGCGTGAGACACTGTGCCCAGCCAAGACAACTTTTTTGATGGAGCCCACTCAGGAGGATGAGAGGGGAGACAAGAGATGTAAGCCACCACAAGAAGCTGGCTAAATAAAAAAGCTTAGTCAGATCTGGGGATGCAGCCAAACCCTTCTGTTGCTGTGGCCTGAACATACAGCCTAATGAGTAGAGAGACCATGAACTTTCTCTGGGGCACAGGAACAAGAAAGAACACCTTGTACCTTAAGGCTACTCTAGTTGTAATGTATTAATGAATTATCACTAGAGAAGCTCCATAGCTTATCAATATATCTAGTTATAAATTTATATATACATACATATCTATATAGTATATATATGCATATACATCTGGTTATAAATTTATATGTAAATATATATCTATATATTATATATACATATATATACACCACATCTATCTATCTTTAGCTAGATGTATGTTAGATGCTTCAACAGTTAGGGTCCAACAAGGGCAACAGCATAATGAACATCTTATACCTGACTCTGAATTGTACCCCACATTTAAAACAATAAAAAACAGGGACCATGCTTAATACATCTAAGGATGTGACCAAGAAAAGCTCAAATTTGGGCTGGATTTTGTTGTCAAAAATTTTTTTTTCATTTATCAAATAAAAGATATTCATCGTAACAATATAAAAAGTTTGCTGAACCTGTTTAGTCTTTTGAAAAAAAAAAAAACACAAACAAAAAAACATATGGGAAAGACAGACCTTCAAAAATACATCTGAGCAAGGCATGGTGCTGTATTCCTGTAGTCCCAACTTGGGAGGCTGAGGTGAGAGGATTGCTTGAGCCTAGAAGTTTGAGACTGCAGGGTGCTATAATTGCACCTGTGAATAGCCACTGCACTCTAGCCCGGCCAACAGTGAGACCCCTATCACACACATAAAAAATCTGTTAAGTGCTCGCTTCGGCAGCACATATACTAAAATTGGAACGATACAGAGAAGATTAGCATGGCCCCTGCGCAAGGATGACACGCAAATTCGTGAAGCGTTCCATATTTTTAACTGTTTGTCTCAATTGGCCATTTAAGTTTAATAGTAAAAGACTGGTTAATGATAACAATGCATCGGAAAACTTTCAGAAGGAAAGGAGAATGTTTTGTGGACCATTTGGGGTTTTTTTTTTTTCCTTTCGCGTGTGGCAGTTTTAAGTTATTAGTTTTTGAAATCAATACTTTTTAATGGAAACAACTTGACCAAAAATCTGTCACAGAATTTTGAGACCCATTAAAACAAAGTTTAATGAGAAAAAAAAAAAAAAAATCTGTTAAAATTCTATATAATAGGCACTGACAAAAGAAGTCAAATGCAGGACTCTGATTTCTCAGTTTGCAATCTATTTAAATGCAGATGCATTTACAGTGCATAATACATGTTACACAAGTACAGACCTAGGTTAGGACTTAAAGTTCATTATATGAATTAAAAAGTGTAAGTGATGGTTAAGCAAGGTATGGAATCATCCTTACCTCTCATGTCTAGTTATACCAGCTCACATTGGCATTCCTGTAGCATTTTTATGTACAAATTAGGCCAATTGTTTATGAATGATTGTTGCCAGAGACTCAGGTTTGCTTTATGCTTGGTGCTTCCCAGCCTTTCTTCTTTATTGCTATCGCCATATAAATATTCACAAAAAGAGCAAGGTGCCAGTTGTTACATTTCCACAAGGGAAAGTGAAACCGGGAACAGCCATGTGTTACTTATCAACTGAAAGCTTCACTTTCCCTGTGGATAAAGCAAGCAATATCAGTGTTATCTGATTTGAGGTCCAACCTGCTCTGTATATAGCAGCAGGCTTACTCACTGCAGGTTACTGGCAATAGAAGTGTCTAAGCCGGGCTCGGTGGCTCAGCCTGTAATCCCGCGCTTTGGGAGGCTGAGGTGAGTGGATTGCCTGGCAACTTGGCAAGACCTCATCTCTACAATAAATCAAAAAATTAGCCGGGTGTGGTAGCGCGCACCTGTAGTTCCAGCTACTTGGAAGGCTGAGGCGGAAGGATCGCTGGAGCTCAGCAGGTGGAGGCTGTGGTGGCCGGGAGCGGCCACTGTACTCCAGTATGGGCAACAGAGTGAGACTCCAACTCAAAAAAAAAAGGAAGTGTCTGATAGAAGTCTGTTTTAATTACACTGCTGGAGTATGGAGGTGTAATGCAAGTGTTGCTATTTTCTGTTATCTCAGGTTTCACTTTTTATAATAAACTGCTTTTTAAATAGTGACTTCTGCTTGGTTTTAATTTTTGGGAGTGGGCATGATAAAGTTGGAGACTTGTAAAAAATATTTCAAACATTTGTTTATTTAACAGGCATTTACTGTCACCATTCTAGGCACTGAGGAATTCAACAGTGAAGGAGACAGACAAGGTCTCTTCTCTCACGCTTACATTTTTAAAAGGGTGTTGGGGGCCGGGTGTGGTGGCTCACGCCTGCAATCCCAGCACTTTGGGAAGCTGAGGTGGGAGGATCACTTGATTCTAGGAGTTCAAGACTAAGCTTGGCAATATAGTGAGACCCTGACTCTACAAAATAAAAATAAGCTGAATAAATAAAAGGGTGTTGGGAATAGATAGGGACATAAACAAACAATAGCTGAACAAGATAATTCAAACTGTCACAGGTGCTATGAAGAAAAGAGATTGATGGCAGTGGGCTGTGAGAAGTCAGGGAAGCCCTCTTTGACATAGACTAAGACTTAAGAAAAAGAACCAGTCATGCAGGATCAGCGGGGAGATTCCAGACAGCTGTGAAAAATGATTTTAACACACTAAATAATGCTCCTCCAAAGTAGTCATCTTATGATCTACAAGTTGTCTTCAAGTTATATATCCATTACCAGAAACATCTCCTGGAGCTCATTTGGAAATGCTGTGAGAACAGGTGGCTCATCTTTGGAATGAATTATGTAAACAGCCAGAAGTCACTTCAGAACTAAGTCTGATGAAGCATCACAGTGAAAGTGCAAGTCTATAAATAGGAATGATACTACCAAGTACCTTCACAAGCCTGGTGAGAAGATTAAAAAAGACGAGGCCAGGCATGGTGGCTCACCCCTGTAATTCTATCGCTTAGGGAGGCCAGGAGTTGGACAGCAGGCTGGGCAACATAGTGAGACCCTGCCTTTACAAAAGTTTTTAATTAAAAAAATTAGCCAGGCATGGGGGCACCCGCCTATAGTCCCAACTACACGGGAGGATAAAGTGGGAGGATAGCTTGAACCCAGGAGTTGTAGCCTGAGCAACAGACCGAGACCTTGTATCTAAAAAATAATAATAAAAGACAACCAGGAGTGGTGGCTCACACCTGTAATTCCAGCACTTTAGGAGGCAGGGACGAGGACTGCCTGGACACACAGGTTGGAGACCAGCCTGGACAACTTGGTGAGACCTCGTCTCTACAGCAAATAAAAAAAATTAGGGTGTGGTGGCGCACGCCTGTAGTTCCAGCTACTTG